TTGCTGAGGACATCACAAGCATCGTCCCCACATGTGCAACTATACAAGTAGCCACATGTGTTTGGAGTCTACTTGTGGGGTGCGTGTGTGGGGATGCTGCTAGTGATGTTGTGTGCCTTTATGTCAAAGTGTTGTGTTAGATTAATCATTTCTCTTGTTTTACCTATTGTACAGCACTGCAGAATATGTTGACGCTATATAAGTGATTGTAATAATTGTGTGTGTGTAGAAACTGTGTGCAGTATTGCAATGGTGGGTATGCTGTTTGTGATGTGTATGTGTAGGGAGGCTGCATGTGGGATTGTGTCTATACAGTGAGGATCCTTGTGGGTGTTTGCGTGTGTTAATGGTAGGTATCAACCGATATTGATTTTTTTAGAGCCGATACCAATACCGATAATCTGTGAACTTTCAGGCCGATAACCGATAACTTACCGATATTCTGTACATTTACCATTTTGAAAAAATAAACTATTTCTAAAGGTAAATGCACAAAATATACAAGCCACGTGTAGCGGATGCAGTGTGTTTAGACAGGGGAACTGTGTGTGTTTGTGTAGTGTGTGTGTAGTGTGTGTGTAGTGGATGCAGTATGTATTTGTGTAGTGTGTATATAATGAATGCAGAGAGTGTGTTTGTGTAGTGTGTGTATAGTGAATGCAGTGTGTGTATAGTGTGCGTAAAGTGAATGGAGTGTGTGTGTAGTGTGCGTAAAGTGAATGCAGTGTGTTTGTGTAGTGTGTATATACTAAATGCAAAGTGTGTATATAATGCTGTGTGTGTGTTTGTGTAGTGTGTGTTTAGTGAATGTACTGTGTTTGTGTAGTGTGTGTATATAATGAATGCAGAGTGTGTATGTATTTGTGTAGTATGTGTATAGTGAATGCAGTGTGTTTGTGTAGTGTGTTTATATAACGCATAAGGATATATATGTCAGGATTACTGTTTGATCCAGCACGTAGAACTGTACAGCACGGATGACAAATAAGTAACGTATTACCGGTCCTTAGAATGGCCGGATTTAACGTACAAAGAATAGTCAAAAATACTAGCCGAGGTCAGGGAACACAGAAAGGGACACAGCGATGAGGAAAGCCAGGAGTCAGGATACCAGAATATAGAGAAGTCAATAAACAAAGCCAAAGTCAAAAACCAGGTAGAAAACTATAAACAGGAACGCGCTCTCAGACAACCACAAGGGAAACCACGACAGGGCACTGAGCAGGCTGAGAACTGGGCCTAAATACCCCTCCTTTAGTTCTGATAGGCTGTAACCGGCCTTTGACCCCAAAGTCAGTTACCAGGTTTCATTTGCATAATTGCTGCTCAGCATTAACCCTTCTGTGGATTAGGTTGCTGCTCGGCACAACTTTTCCTGTGTGGACAGTAAATGTCATTAATCACTTTTCTCTAAGCGGATGAATACATGACACCAGGTTTCATTTGCACAATTACTGCTCAGCATTAACCCTTCTGTGGATTAGGTTGCTGCTCGGCACAACTTTTCCTGTGTGGACAGTAAATGTCATTAACCACATTTCTATAAGCGGATGAATATGTGACATTACCCCCCACCTGAAGAACGCCCACCGGGCGGACAGGACCAGGCTTGAGAGGAAATTTAGCGTGAAAAGCGCGGATCTTACGGCCCGCATGCAGGTCAGGAGCCGAAACCCAAGAACGATCAGCAGGACCGTAACCTTTCCAAACAACCAAGTACTGTAAAGTGCCCCGAGAAAACCTAGAATCCACGATAGAAGATACCTCATACTCTTCCTGACCACCCACCACCACCGGAGGGGGAGGAACACAAGGAACAGTATATCTATTGCAGACAAGAGGTTTGAGTAAGGACACATGAAAAGTGTTGGGAATCCCTAAAGATGCAGGAAGAGCCAGAGAGTAAGACACTGGATTGATCCTACGAAGCACTCTATAGGGACCAAGGAATCTGGGGGCAAACTTCATGCTAGGGACCTTAAGCTTGAGGTTGCGAGATGACAACCAAACCCGGTCCCCCACTTGGTACACCGGGTTGGCACTCCTACGCTTATCAGCAAAATGTTTGAAGCGTTCAGCAGCAGCCCCTAGAGCAGTTTGAACCTTAACCCAGGTATCCCGAATGGAGGCCAGACGCTCATCCAGAGCAGGAATGGCAGTATCAGAAAATACCGCAGGGAGAACCGTAGGATGCCTACCATTATTGACAAAAAATGGACTGTGCCCAGAGGAGTCATGAACAGCATTGTTTCTAGCGAACTCGGCCCACGGGAGTAGTTCGGACCAATTGTCTTGTGTGCTATTAATAAAACAACGCAAATAAACTTCTAATGACTGGTTAGCCCTCTCAGCTGTACCATTGGTCTGTGGATGGTAGGAGGAGGAGAAGGAGAGATCAATCCCCAATTGTTTACTGAACGCCCTCCAGAACCTGGACACAAACTGAGAGCCCCTATCAGACACAATATTGTGGGGGATGCCATGCAAACGGACAATTTCACGTATGAAAATTAGGACCAAATCTTGCGAAGATGGCAACTTCTTGAGAGGAATGAAGTGAGCCATCTTAGAAAATCGGTCTACAACCATGAGAATAGTAGTGAACCCAGCAGAGCTAGGAAGCTCAACAATAAAGTCCATGGATAGGTGGGACCATGGAATCTCAGGAACAGGAAGAGGCTGCAACAGGCCACAAGGAAGTGCATGAGTCACCTTAGAAACTGCACACACAGAACATGCCTGCACATACTCCTTTACATCTTTCCTGAGTGAATCCCACCAAAATGATCTAGTGATCGCGGCAGTGGACTTATTGATGCCCGGGTGTCCAGCAGTTATATTGTCATGGAACACTTTCATGATATTAACCCTTTCACATAGGGGAACGAACAGTTTATCACACGGTTTACCACTGGGCGCCTGAGGCTGGGCCTCCAGTATGGTGCCAAGCAGTGGAGAAGACAGTGAGAGGACAGTAGTAGCAATAATACACTCTGCTGGAATAATAGGAGATGTCATCTGTTCCGGAGCTGACTCATTATCAAATTGCCTGGACAAGGCATCAGCCTTGGTATTTTTAGAACCAGGTCTATAAGTAATGAGAAAGTTAAAACGTGAAAGGAACAGTGACCATCTAGCCTGTCTGGAAGACAAACGTTTGGCATCCCCTATATATGCCAGATTTTTGTGGTCGGTTATGATCAACAGGGGGTCCTTGGAACCCTCCAAAAGATGTCGCCACTCCTTGAGGGCAAGAATAATGGCCAACAGTTCTCTATTGCCAATATCATAGTTGCGCTCAGCAGGAGACATCTTTCTGGAGAAGTAGCCACAAGGATGCAATGGTGTTCCCTGGCTTTCTCTCTGAGAGAGAACAGCCCCTACCCCTGTCTCGGATGCATCAACCTCCAATATAAAAGGTTTACTGGTGTCAGGATGTTTTAGTATGTCCGCAGAGGCAAATCTTTGTTTAAGAGTCTCAAAAGCATTCACAGCCTCTTTGGACCATACCGTGCTACTAACCCCTTTGCGAGTCATATTTGTGATTGGGGCTATTACAGAAGAAAATCCCTTGATGAATCTTCTGTAATAGTTGGCAAAACCAATAAACCTTTGAATGGCTTTTAAACCAGAGGGTAATGGCCAGTGTAGTACAGCCTCTAGTTTTTTAGGATCCATTTGAAATCCCGATGCAGAGATGTTGTAACCCAAAAAGTGGACTTCAGGCTGGTCAAATATGCACTTTTCTAATTTACAATAAAGTTTATTTTTCAACAACGTCTGCAGAACCTGTTTCACATGGGAGTGGTGAGTTTGAAGATCAGGGGAATACACCAAAATATCGTCCAAATAAACCAAGACAAATGAGTAAATGAATTCCCTGAGTACATCATTTATAAAGTCTTGGAATACGGCCGGGGCGTTGCATAACCCAAATGGCATTACCAGATATTCATAGTGTCCACTACGGGTATTAAATGCCGTCTTCCACTCATGATTCTCTTTAATTCTAACCAAATTGTAAGCGCTCCTAAGGTCAAGCTTAGTAAATACTTTAGCTCCCTGAAGTCTATCGAACAATTCGGAAATGAGTGGAATAGGGTATGCATTTTTTACAGTGATTTTATTAAGGGCCCTGTCGTAATGTCAGGATTACTGTTTGATCCAGCACGTAGAACTGTACAGCACGGATGACAAATAAGTAACGTATTACCGGTCCTTAGAATGGCCGGATTTAACGTACAAAGAATAGTCAAAAATACTAGCCGAGGTCAGGGAACACAGAAAGGGACACAGCGATGAGGAAAGCCAGGAGTCAGGATACCAGAATATAGAGAAGTCAATAAACAAAGCCAAAGTCAAAAACCAGGTAGAAAACTATAAACAGGAACGCGCTCTCAGACAACCACAAGGGAAACCACGACAGGGCACTGAGCAGGCTGAGAACTGGGCCTAAATACCCCTCCTTTAGTTCTGATAGGCTGTAACCGGCCTTTGACCCCAAAGTCAGTTACCAGGTTTCATTTGCATAATTGCTGCTCAGCATTAACCCTTCTGTGGATTAGGTTGCTGCTCGGCACAACTTTTCCTGTGTGGACAGTAAATGTCATTAATCACTTTTCTCTAAGCGGATGAATACATGACACCAGGTTTCATTTGCACAATTACTGCTCAGCATTAACCCTTCTGTGGATTAGGTTGCTGCTCGGCACAACTTTTCCTGTGTGGACAGTAAATGTCATTAACCACATTTCTATAAGCGGATGAATATGTGACAATATAAGGACAATACTATCCTTACCTTTTTGTGTCATTTTACCTCACTCCCTCTAGCATGTAAGCTCATGCTAGAGGGACCCTCAACCCCTCTGTTCCTGTGTGTCCAACTTGTCTGGTTACAACTACATGTCTGTTCGTCCACCCATTGTAAAGCGCTGCGGAATTTGATGGCGCTATATAAATATCATAATGATAATAATAATGCAGTGTGTATTTGTGTAGTGTGTGTATATAAGGCAGTGTGTTTGTGTAGTGTGCATTATATAAACACACTACACAAACACACTGCGTTATATACACACACACTACACAAACACACCGCATTATATACACACATTCACTGCATTCACTATACACACACTACACAAACACACACACACTGCATTATATAAACACATTCACACACTGAATTATATACACAGTGTGTTTGTGTAGTGTGTTTATAAAATGCAGTGTGTGTTTGTGTAGTGTGTTTATAATGCAGTGTGTGTGTGTGTGTTTGTTTCTCTAGGTATGTAATTTGGGGGGAAGGAGCATTTAAAAAAAAAAAAAAAATATTTAAATATTGAATTATTATAATTTTTTTTAGTCCCCCCCTCCGTGCTTCTTACTTATTCAGGGAGTGGGGATTTAGCATTCACTGGTGGTCCAGTGGCATGGAAAGTACAGAGTGGGCACAGCAACACTCGTACTTACCTTCCCAGCAGCTCCCGGTGTAAATTTAGCGGCCAGCATGCCGCGAGGAGAGTTGCTATGGTAACCTGTGGGACTCAAGAGATTTACACAGGGGAGCTGAAGGGAGCTGCTGGGAAGTAAGCCCGTGCTGTGGGCCCCCCCAGGACCGCCGGGCTTGTAATGGGCCCTGGCGGTCCTGGTATGTATTATCGCAATATCGGTATCTCTATTGGCCGATACCGATATTGCCGAAAATACAGAATATTGGCCGATAATGGGTCGATCCCTAGTTAATGGGGCTATTTGCAGTGCAGTATGTGAGTGGACAGGGCTGGTTGTGTTGCAGAGTGTGTGGGATAGAATCTGTAGTAGGCATCTGGTGGTTACTGGGGCTGTAGTGTGTGCGTCAGGGGATATATGCCTCCCTGCACCTACTTCAGCATCTATTCCCCCACGCACACACTACAGCCACTATCCTACTTATAGGGGGCTGTGGTGGGCGCGGGGAGGCACGAGGACTGAGGTGGATGCAGAGGGGCATGTGGAAGCAGGGGTTGAGGTGGGTGCGGATCTGGACAGAGTATGAGGTGAGACAGAGGTTGTAGTAAGCACAGGAGGGGACATAGGAGCTGTGGTAAGCACAGGAGGGGACATAAGGGCTGTGGTGGGTACTGAAAGGGATAGGGACTATGGTGGGTGGTGGATGCGGGTAGACAAGGGCCTGTGGTGGGCGCAGGGAGGGACATAGGGGCTGTAGTGGGTGCAGGGAGGGACATAGGGGCGGTGGTGGGTACTGGAAGGCATAGGAGCTATGGTAGGTGGAGGTGGCATAGGGGCTGTGATGGGTGCATAGGGGCTTAGGTGGGAACAGGGATAGGTAGATCCTGGGGTGAGTGTAGGGAAGAATGGTGGCTGAGGTGAGTTCAGGGGAATTGAGATAGGTGCAGGGGGAGATGTGGTGTGTGGAGGAGGAGCTGAGGTGGGTTCATGGGGGTGAGGTGGGTACAGAGAGGGGTTGAGGTGGGTACAGAGTGGGCTAAGGTGGGTACGGGGGGGCTGAGGTGGGAGCAGAGGGGGCTGGTGTGGGTACAAGGGGTGCTGAGATGGATAAAGAGAGGCTGAGGTGGGTACAGGGGACTGAGGAGGGGGCTGAGGTGGGTACAGGGGGGCTGAGGTGGGAGCAGAGGGGGTTGGTGTGGGTACAAGGGGTGCTGAGATGGATAAAGGGAGGCTGAGGTGGGTACAGGGGACTGAGGAGGGTAGGGGGGCTGATGTGGGTACAGGGGGGGCTGAGGTGGGAGCAGAGGGGGTTGGTGTGGGTGCAAGGGGTGCTGAGATGGATAAAGGGAGGCTGAGGTGGGTACAGGGGCGGCTGAGGTGGGTACAGGGGGAGATGTGGTGGGTGCAGGGAGATAGGGGGTGCTGAGGTGAGGATGTTAAAAAAAAAATCTATAAAGAACTTACCTGTGCTGTCTGCCAAGCTGCTGCAGCTTCTTCTCTTCATGAGAGGCCAGGAAGTGATGTCACTTCCCAGCCCCGTCTCTTCCTCCTCACACACAGCACCGCACAGGGGGAGGAGACCTGGCAGCAAGAACTGGATGATCGCTGCGAGGTCTCCCTTAGAGAGGAGAAATAGGTGAAGAGGGTTATTTACAAATTGATATGTTGCAGGGGCCCTGCAACATAACACTGTAATATTGGAGAAAGTATGTTGTTCTGGCTGAGGAGATCTCTGATCTGCCGGGCCCCTGACTGCCTCGGGCCCTCGGTCCATGACCAATCTGCCCGACCTGTCAGTCCACCCCTGGCTCCGCAACAGCACCAGCAATCCCAACACGTTAAGGCAGCAAGAAAGATCCCCAGTCACTCAAAGTGTGAAAGCCGCAAGGCAGGTTTATCGAAATCCGCTGTCTTTTTTGTTTCAATAAATCTGCCTGCGGCTTTCACACTTTGAGTGCCTGGGAATCTTTCTTGCTGCCTATTTCTATTGTATTGTCTTTTTCCCGGTTGTACAGCGCTGCAGAATATGTTGCTGCTTTATAAATCTCTGTGCATAGATTCATATCCCCCTCCCTTAGCTTTATTGCAGGCCTATCTGACCCTAACTACTTTAAAAAATCCTTAAAAACTCACTTTTTTACAAAAGCATATCAATTAAACTGTTAATGGCTCCAAAAAAAAAACCACACTAAGTCTTCATTGAATACTATTCTACCAATCTACTTCCATAATACTTCCCTTACCAGGGGCGGACTGACCACTTGGGCACATCGGTCATGGACCGGGGGCCCGAGACAGCCAGGGGCCCGGCCGCACAGCCATGCTCCAGCTGGAGAGATCAGAGATCTCTCCAACTGGAACGGCAAAATAATAAAATTTTAAAAAAGCTCTCTTCCATTGATAGGATGCTGGGGCCCCTTATGGAGCGCAGGGCTCCAGCAACCTTCCACTCTGCACCTTACCTCCCCCTCTTCCCTCCCACTTTGAGACCTGGCAGCATTACCTCCGCTCTGCCAGGTCTCCTTCTCCCTATCCCACGCGGTGCTCTGTGTGATGGGGAGAGGCTGAGCTAGGAAGTTCCATCACTTCCTGCACTCGCCTCACACACAGAGCCCTCTCACAGCCAGCGAGGGGAAGGAGCAGCAGCCTGGGAGAGCACAGAAGGAGCAGAGAGAGAGGTAGGAAATAAAAAGGGCGAGATGGGAAGTCACTCACTCTGTCACCAGTCACCACCTCCCTCCTTCTGTCACCCCCTCCCTCACTCTGTCACCCCCCCTCACTCTGTCACTAGTCACTCACTCTGTCACTAGACACCCCCTCCCTCCCTCTGTCACCCCCTCCCTCAATCCCTCCCTCTGTCACCAGTCATCCCCTCCCTTGCTCTGTCACTAGTCACCCTGTCCCTCCCTCTATCACCAATCACTCCCTCCCTCACTATGTCACCAGTCACACCCTCCCTGTCACCAATCACTCCCTCCCTCACTCTGCCACCAGTCACCCCCTCCCTCCCTCTATCACCAATCACTCCCACCCTCTGTCACTAGTCACCCCCTCCCTCTATCACCAATCACTCCCTCCCTCTGTCACTAGTCACCACCTCCCTCACTCTGCCACTAGTCACCCCTTCCCTCACTCTGTCACTAGTCACCCCTTCCTCTCTCTGTCACCAGTCACCCCCTCCCTCTATCTGTCACCAGTCACCCCCTCCCTCTATCTGTAGTCACCCCCTCCCTCTGTCACTAGTCACCCCTTCCCTCACTCTGTCACTAGTAACCCCCTCCCTCTCTCTGTCACCAGTCACTCCCTCCCTCTGTCACCAGTCACCCTTCTCCCTCACCCCTTCCCTTACTTTGTCACCAGTTACTCCCTCCCTCTGTCACCAGTCACCCTCTCCCTCTGTCACCAGTCACCCCTTCCCTCCCTCTGTCACCAGTCACCCTCTCCCTCCCTCACTCTGTCACTAGTCACCCCCTCCCTCACTCTGTCACTCTGCCACCAGGCACCCCCTCACTCTGCCACCTGTCACCACCTCCCACACTCTGCCACTTGTCACCCCCTCCCTTACACACTCTGTCACCTGTCACCCCCTTGGACAAGAAGAATTTTTTTAATATTCCACACCCCTGCACATGCAGATACACATTAATGCTCAATACACATATGCATTCACACTCACATATATGCAAAAAATATGTCATCATGCAGACATGCACAAGTGCATTCACACAGACTCAAATAGAAACATGCATTGATACACAGGTCTTCACAATATACACATCACAAAGGAGTGCCGTACTATATGAGAGTCATAGTTAACATTTATTTAATTCACATGTATTTGGCCAGGAGGCCCCAAAGGCTCTCAGTCCACCCCTGTCCCATACCTTTTGTGTAACTTTACCCCACTCCCTCTAGCATGTAAGCTCATTGAGCAGGGCCCTTAACCCCTCAAACTTGTCTGGTTACAATTATACAATTAATTATACTAAATATTGTTGTCCACCCATTGTAAAGCGCCACAAAATATTATAATAATAATAATAAAAATACCAGTAATAATACTAATAATAATGTGTATGGTTGAAGTATCCTGTCATATACTAAAGGTAGGAATGAGTTTTTCTTATGAGTTTTTCACTTTTACATAATCGAAAACAAAACTATTTACTTTCAATACTTGATGAAAGGAATATTCTATAAAAACATAGTTTGAGGTGACAGTGGAACCCTGTCACAGGGGGACCAGGAGGTGGACAACTGCAAGCAGCGGTTCAAATGCAGTTCTGTTATACGAATGAATGGAGACTAATTATGCAGCACTAAAATGAACAACATTGAAAGAACTATTAGAAGCAAGGGATAAGATAGCGAGCAATCCAGGGGTACAAGGTGAAAGCGCACACAATAAAATAAATGTTACCTTTAATGCACAGTACACTTGATAAAAGATGTTATGAATATTTCCTATACGAAAATCAAAATAAAACACAACATAGTGTGTAATCTGTATAAATATTTAGTGAGAAGAGGTTAGAACTCGAAACACTCACAATTTTTTGAGTGCATTAAAGTTGGCTCTGAACTTATAGAGCATATATGTCTCCTTTATGGACATAGACAGTTTTTCTCCA